ACACAAAATAACATCAATCAATAATCTCTAACAATCAATAATATAGCACATTTGAAGTAACTGAATCTACTAGTGAAAAGACAGCCATATGCGATAATCTATAATGACATGGATGATAAGAAACAGATGAAGAGCAGCACCAAAATGTACGATTATTCGTGAAGGGTCGAGGTTTTTCGAGAGATATCAGCAGGATTACGGTAGTGCTGCCTGGGGCACTTTCAAAGGTACTGTGAGCCAGGGCTTAGTCTACGATCACGAATCGGTTGGAAACTATTCTGGTGAGGATCTAAACGTTGAGTGGATTCATTCATACTACGTATCATCCGCTTTGTATGGCCTGGTGCTGGGGACACAGCCCTCGGATCGGGCTGTGGATCTCCGAGCTGAAAAGAGCAACATTTTTTTGATGACAACCTTGAAACCTTTGAAGTATAAAGGGGGGGGGGAGGCAAAAAGTCCGCACTTTGGCTTCAATGCGGCTTTCGAGGCGCCTATAAGTCATACGTTATTAAATTCTGATCGGACATTTTCACCATCATATTCAAAGAGCATAAAATACTATCATGACACTCCGCCACAGCCTTCTGGACGAGCGCCATCGAGAGATTCTGGCACACGACCGCGATGTGGTGCCTGAGATCAGCGAGATCGTTGATTTCTCCGCCACCGTAGACCACCCTATTGAACTCCGCCCGAACCGGGTAATTGAGGATTCAGGTCAGGTGACCTACTTGGATATTCCATCTTCTTTAGGTACTCAGCCCCTTCCATTCCAAGTAGGCGAGAGTTTCTCCAACGCCCTTCGATTCCATGTGGTGGCACCCAAACCTGTAGCAGCACAAGGTCTCCAAGAAGGTACGGGCGACCACATGTAGGGAGGATATTCTTCTCGAGTTACTTGATGTAACCGCCAGCGCTCACCTTCAGTCCGGGGTCCACGAAGAAAATATTGGTCTTTCCATTCCAGGTACGTCCGGTCCATACCATCAACCCGCGCCTTGGCGACTGCGGTGAAGATGATGTCCTAGACCGTGGCGACGTTGTCGGAGCTGCTCGATGTTGGAGGTCATCCAGATCGAGAGTACTGGTCTCCAGGTAGCTATCCATGGGTGACTCCATACTAGAAGTTTCGCAGCTGTTTGGAGAGTAGCGTGAATTCCAAAGGTCTTCTCCAGTCAGGCTGCGACTGGAGATGACTTCATATTTTGGTGTACATGAAGGTGATGGGCGAGAGCCAGCTCCTGCTTATAGAGGAACATCTTGGGTATCTTCCGCCCTGGTACTCGTATCCACGTCCTCTGTCTGGGCTGCGAAAACTTTTGCTGTATATGACTGGGTCGAAGTGTCCTTTTTTGGCCGCTCCCCCTGTAGAGGTGTTCGATTGAAAATCAAGTGTCTGGTGTAACTGTGAACTTGGAAGATTCCATCCTATGCGCAAAGGAACTGTCTTGTTCGTTGTGGACGAGCAGGGATATGTCAAGGGGGGAGGGGGTGAATGTGGGCGCGGCACCAGCCCGGCTCTCAGTAGTCAATCGTGTTAATTGGAGGGCGACCACAACTAGTGGAAAACTGGCAATCCGAGCTTCCATGACACGCCCTGGCAGCATAGCCGAACCAAGACTAGCTAGGGGTGCACGTCGGTGACGGCGCGACTGCATGTCATGTCTAGTCCTTCTCACGTATTTATTAGTCTTCGAACAGATCGAATTTAGGCGCCTTCGTCATTCTGCTAAAGGAGCAAACAGGCATACATGACGTGACACTGTCGTCAGCCGTGCAGCATCTCTAGTTCCGTTACCCTATGTTGTGTATTCTATTTCGGGGAGACTGTTACGTCGAAAACTAGCTCTTATGGTGGGTCTGCCATATTTTTGGAAGAAAGGTGGTTAAAGGGGAGACACGAAGCATGGCGACTGCGCATATAGAATCTTCTGTTTGTCCCCTCAATGGAAGCTAAAGTGGCGGATATGCCCAACCGTAGACTGAGAAAACGTGGTCACTCGAGAACAAACTGCTTACTCCTGGTTAATGTCTCGGTCCTGCAATGAGCGAGGTGATCAGTCCAAAGCTGGAATAGCGTTCCACTTTTTCAACAGAATTGTAAGAGACAGAGACACGGGATTCCGAGGGCACCGATCACGCGGGCGTTGTGTTGCCTCCATACTCCGCTCGCGCTGACGCGTGCCAAGTACACGCCTAGCCTCAGCCTTCGTTGCTTCCTCTCGCTTCTGGTTGTTCTCTGCTGCTGAGAGCCTATCCTGATATCACTGCCGAATTCGTGGCGTCGGACACAAGTGCTGGCATATTTGAATAATGCCGACGGCAGTCGGAGTTATTGCAGGCGGCCCTGGGCGATCACTACCTTCATGTTACGGTTCTCGTGCTACAGCTGTGGGACTCATTCCCCATTTCATTCTAAATGAACTGGCTGCCTTAAAGGCAGTTGGCCCGATAAATCCCTAAGGACGAAAAGGATTGATAGGCCTGGCAAGATGGTATTCCGCGCCCCTAAGGAGCGTCCTTTCCTAGGAAGGTACCATTATAAGGGCCCTATCAAGCTACAACATTACCGACCCGAAGGCCCAACCAGCGCACCCGCCCACAAATGGCCGACCGTTCCTGACGCTCGCACTGCTTCATTTGCTAAGCAAATTATGAAGCGAAGGGATTGGTATGAAGCGGCCGTGATGCTGCATGGATATATGAGTACACATATGCAGCC